AGTACACTGGTGATTGTATAGTACTGGAATTAAGTGCATGGAAAGCCACCAATAACAGTATTGTAAATCACAGAACCTCTATCAAAAAAATTAATTTTAAAAAGTAATATATAAAAAAAGGCCGGAGCGATAGCACAGCAGTAGGGCATTTGCCTTGCAAGCGGCCAGCTCGGCTGACCCGGGTTCGATTCCTCCAGCCCTCTTGTAGAGCCCGGCAAGCTACCGAGAGTATCTCACCTGCACAGCAAAGCCTGGAAAACTACCTGTGATATATTCGATATGCCAAACACAGTAACAAGTCTTACAATGGGGATGTTACTGGGCCTGCTCGAGCAAATCGATGAACAACAGGAGGACAGGGCTACAATATATGAAAAATAAATTATATATATGTATGTATGTAAAAATAATAATAGTAATTCCCATGCCACCACAGATACTGAGAACAAACATGGTGACTTTGCTATTCAAAACTACTTTCAGGTGTCTCTAATCTCTGTTGCTGCCAGTAGTTCCTGGTTGTTACACAGCCAGGTGTGGGTAAGCACCACTAAAGATGTGTAAGCAACTTTGACACATAAAGCAGTACAACCCCTGAAGAGCATCATGTGAACGTCACAGCAACTTCTGGTCAGCACATGTGCAACCCTCACAGTTTAAGGAGTACAACCTTGACAAGCTCTGCAGCCAGGGGTGCAGACACAACAACCAGGCATCTGCATGACCCCCAGGTTAATACAGTAGGGGAGGGAGAGAGGTACTAATATATTTTAAATGAGATCCATTCTGTTCCAAAAGGCATAATTTTATCTCTAAATAAGAATCATATTAAATATTTATAGATACTTTGTGTATATACATATATATATATATACATTGTATATGCCACAGTTTTGTTTTTAAACGCCTCCCTCTTTTTATAACCCTCCTCATTGTTGCAATGACCAGGAAATAAATACCTGACTGTGGTGCTCACATTCTTTTTTTCAGATGTTTTGCTGGCTGTCAAGAGCATCCTTTCTTTAGTTGCAGTATTTGTGCACTTATTGCTAGGGTGCAGCCAGAGGTCACTTACAGTGCCTGGGATCTCAGACAGAGCTCTCATGCACAAACAGCAAGGCCATTGGTGCTGTACTCAGTGCCGCGGTACACCAGGGATCATATACAGCTCTCTTGAACCACTGAACTACCCCCAGACCAGAGCTTCTTTATTAAGTCATCTGTTCATGGGCATTTAGGGTAATACCAGTTTTTTGCTATTGTGAATAATGCTGCTGTGAACATGAGTGCAAACTTTCATGTTTTCTTATCCTTAAGCTATATGCTTCAGTGATGTTGCTGGATATACAGTATTTTAAGATTTCCTCTACTCTTTTCCAGAAAGGCTTCACCAATATGCATTACCAACAATAACTATCAGATCTTAGGGTGATAGAAAGTAATTTTAATTCTTCAGAATGTGAAGTTAAAGCATAGGTAGCTTTGCTAGAAAACCACATTCATTCTTATCTATCCTTCAGTATTCTCAAGATCAAATGATATGCTAAATTATAGGATGAGGAAAATTAACATTTAGGTCAAATATGTGGGGAAAGGAAATGTTAGAGTAAGGAGAGGAGGTTTGTTAGAGAAATATGGGTATGCTTAAACTATACCACTAGCCAAACTTCAAACTTCCTTTGCACTCCTGTTAAAATTGAATGAAGAGAAGTGATAGACCATGTAGTTTTGTTTTGGGGGGCAACCTGGCTATGCTCAGGGCTTCTGACTCTGTGCTCAAGTATCACTTCCGGTGGCTGGGGCGGGAGAGGGGACTATAGGGATGAGATTGGATAGCAAGCACCTTACCTACTGTATCTCTAGTCCTCATCTCCACTGTTCAGACTATGGTTTTGGTTTCTTTTGGTGAGAGGACCAAAATTAAAATCAACTAAGAGGCACACGTGGCAGAGTCCAGAACAGTTCCAAATACAGAACTCCATCTGTCCTTTCTGAGGAAACTCTGAGACAGCATTGATTCTAGCAAGAAGTGTAAAAAATATCCGTGGATTTTGCCAGCCAGTGAAACTCAATTCCTAACTATGCATAGTTCTGTTTTGTTTTATTTATTTATTTATTTATTTTATTTATTTATTTTTATTGAATCACTGTGAGGACAGTTACAAAGCTGTCAGATTTAAGACTGGGTCATATAATGATCAAACACCCATCCCTTCACCAGTGCACATGTTCCACCATCAAGAACCCCAGTATTCCCCCATCCCAACCCTCCCCCTGTCTGTGTGGCAGATGATTTTTATTTTTCACTCTCTTTTACTTTGATCACATTCAATTTTTCGAGAGAAGACCCACTATTATTATTTGGAATTTCCCCCCAACAATCAGACCTGCTGAAAAGGCATCATTAGATAATTTATTTTCTATTGTTGATAACGAAGAGTATATGATGTCACATGGTTGCTGTTGGATTTCTGGTATTTTAATAATTAAGTCCAGAGGTGAGAGGACCAAAATTTCTGCCAAAAGCCTCTGCGTTCCGAGATTGGTTTGTGTGCCTCTGGGATCATGGCCATTCAGGAGTGGAGGAGCTGTTCGTGGGCGGCAGCTTGGGGTCTTGTCCAGGTGGGGAGAAGGGCCAGTTCCGCCCCTCCATCCCAGGAGGCCCCACTTGCCCTGTCACTGCAAGCATGTACTTCTCTTTCCAATAGGCTCTGAAAGATGGCAGTCACCATGCTTACTCCTAGAGGGAAAAGGCTGAGGGACAAACATGTTTCCCCTCCTGGGGCAGCACGAGGCCATAGCCTAGTTCACAGTCCAGAAGCATTTCTGTCAGAAGCCACTGGGTTCCGAGATTGGTTTGTGTGCCTCTGGTATCATGACCATTCAGAAGCGGAGGAGCCGTTCGTGGGCAGCAACTCGGAGTCTCCACTATGCATAGTTTTTATTAGGACTTTATCAAAAAGGTACCCTCTACTGAGCTACATTGACTTCACTCTCTGGAGTCAAACCTGATAATGATATGTCTCAAAACCCTTTGATAAATCACTTTCTGAGACTATCTGGTATTCTGGTGTGATCCAAGACTTCAGATATTGGGTAAAACATTGCAGGAACAAAGATTACTTCCCAGGAGAGAAGGGCAAAAGCCTGATCTTTCTTTGCATAACATTTACTAATTCTTTAGTAATTCTTCATTAAAGGGCCTCCCCGTTGTTCTTTAATCTGTATATTTGTGAAGATTGAGTAAAATTGGGTTAAAAAATTGCTTTGTTGTAACAAAATAGGAGACTAACACCCAAGAATAACCAAGATAAGTACCATGGATTAAGTTTACTCCATGGCTTGGAGGCCAGCTGCGCATGCTAGGGGAAAAGGCAGCTCAGACAGAAAAGGGAGCACCAAATAAAGGTGTTGGGAGGATCCTCCCAGGATGGGAGATGCATGCTGAAAGTAAACTATAGACTGAACATGATTGCCACTCAATGCCTCTCTTTCAAATCACGCACCCTAAAGGAGAGAGAGAACAAAAGGAAATTCCCTGCCACAGAGGCAGGGTGGGATGGTGCGGGGGGGGGGGGGGGGGGGGGGATGATGGGTGGGAGGGATATTGGGATCTGTGGTGGTGGAAAATGGGCACTGGTGGAGGGATGGGTACTTGATCATTGTATAACTGAAATCCAAGAACAAAAATTTGTAAGTCTACAACTGTACCTCATGGTGTTTCACTAATAAAAATTTTAAAAAATTGCTCTGTTCATGTTTTCAATATAATTTGTGGCTAGTAATGCGGAGCTGAGAGTTGAATTCGGGATTTTCTAAATTTCAAAGTAAGTATTTTTTGTTGCAGAGATCAAACACAGCAAGCAGTATTTGGGTGCCTAACAAGTGCTAGAGATAAAACCCAGGGCCCCATATATGCAAGTGACTCTACCATTTGTGTCACATCCCCAGTCTCCCAATAGCATTTTTGTTTTGTGTTAAATTATTTAAAACTTCAAATACAAAACCAAAACTGAAATTCATTTTATTAGGCATTTAAGTGATTGCTGGTTTTAATAACCTCCAGTGCAGCACAGCCAAGTAAATGTAACCTAGTAATGATGGCAATGAAAGAAAGTAGAATTAATCAGTTTACTAGTTGGTGCCTTTCAGTAGAGTATTGGAGACAACTAATTTCAAAGTCATTGAGGGGGCAGAGCCTGGCAAGCTCCCTGTGGCGTATTCAATATGTCAAATACAGTAACAAAAATAGGTCTCATTCCCCTGACCCTGAAAAAGCCTCCAATCTTTGGAAAAGCTGAGTAAGAAGAGGCTGCTAAAATCTCAGGGCTGGGAGGAATAAAGACGTTACTGGTGCCCACTCGAGTAATTCGACTTCAACCGGATGACAGTGATACAGTGATACAGATAATTGATGACAAAATGAGAAGATAGGAAAACAGCCAATTGAGTATAGGCATTCCAAGGTTTTTCAAGAGAAAGGGAGAAGGAAAGATTAAAAGGTAGGTTTGGTCGTTTTTTAAAAGATAAAAGCCTTTTGAACACATACCACAGAATAAGTTTACTAGTCATTGTATGTGTTACCTCATATAATTTTCACCAAAGTAGATAATTATATTGTTTTGCCATGAAAAAAAAATACAAGGCTCAGAGAGGCTACACAATATTGCCAGTTAAACAATTATAAAGATGCTTGTGAGGATTAAATGAGGTAATTCTTATAAAAGTATATGTTAACTTTGGAGTTATTGTTACATATTTCAGAATTGATTTCTATTTAATAAAAAATGGGTCTTAGGGGCTGAAGTGAAAGTACAGCAGGTAGAGCATTTGCCTTGCGCACAGCCAACACGGTTTGATCGTCAGCACCACCCTAAGCATCCCTGGGAGTGATTTCTGATCATCCCTTGAGTGTGGCCCCAAACCAAAATATATAAACAAATGTTTTGATTTTTTTCCTGTGTGTTTTATGCATTTCCATCCCCTCCCCTTAATTCTAGGCTTAAAACAGCCATCATGTCAAGCAAAAAAGCAAAGACCAAGACCACCAAGAAGCGCCCTCAACGTGCAACATCCAATGTGTTTGCAATGTTTGACCAGTCACAGATTCAGGAGTTCAAAGAGGCCTTCAACATGATTGATCAGAACAGAGACGGTTTCATTGACAAGGAAGATTTGCATGATATGCTTGCTTCACTGGGTAGATTTTTATATTTTTATATTTAGATTTTGATATAATAATTTAACACTTCGGAATTATTTCCTACTGTGATATACATATATTACTCTCTACATTAAAGGCTCTTTTAAGAGATGGCCTAATGTGGAAAGAGGCTTTGGCAGGCACTGTGGCCAGCCAGGATTCTATTTGCATTAGCTAAATTTAATAAGTCAGCTAGATGAAAATCTAAGTGATAGCTTGATTGCAAATTATCAGAATTTCACACAAAAAGCACAGCTAATAGGGGCCAGAGCAATAGAACAGTGGGTAGGGCTTTTGTCTTGCATACAGCCAACCTGAGTTTGATACCTCACATCCCATATGGGCCCCCAAGCCCTGCCAGGAGTAATTCCAGAGTTCAGAGCCATGAATAACCCCTGAGCATGGCTGGGTATGACCCAAAAAGCCTCTTCCTCCCCGCCCCCAAATAATGTAGCTAATGATAAAGGTTGAGAATAGTGCATAATTAAGGGGGGAAAATATTAAGATTATGAGATTTAAAGCAAACTACAGTATTTTTAAATTTTATTTTTACGAAGTTATTCACAATAATTCATTACATTTAATATTCAAACACCAATGCACCACCATTGCGCCTTCCCACAACCATAAGAGGATAGTTTGTGAAGATTGTTGTATTTCATCCTGGAGCCATTAAGCCCTTGTATAAGAAATCACAAACATGACAAACTACACTCTTGTTATTTTAGTCAAGTGGATGTTATTATTCCTTGTATGGAATTTTTTTTTTTTCACTTTTTTTGGGGGGGGGTAGGGATCACCGTGAGATACAGTTACAAAGCTTTCATGGTCGAGATTCAGCTGTACAATGATCAAACACCCATCCCTCCACCACTGCACACCTACCACTAGTGTTCCCAGTGTATTTCCTATCTCCTCCCCACCGCCATCCCAGTCCTCATACTGCCTCCATGGCAGACAATTTCCCCAATCCTCTCTCTCTATTTTTGGGCATTATGTTTTGCTCGAGTTTTCCTACCATCATTCAAGCCTGCCTGCCAGGGTCAGATGCTGATCATTTATTGTCCATTGCTCATTTTGAATATTACGGGTGCTGCAGCCGTACACCCAGTCTGGAATCCTAGATTGTAAATGGTTGGGTTCCGTAGGGTACTAATTCATTTGGAATTCAGTTGGGCGTCTCTGGACCAGGGCTGTTGGTGCACTAAGATGGCACCTGGAGGCACATTGTGGGTGTGACAGCCAAGCCAGGGGGCAGGCGGGGAGCAGGGGAGGGACAGCGTGGTACCTCTGCCTCTGTGCAGCATGGAGATTTAGTCCTGGAACCCATATACCTTTTTCACTTTTTGGGGGGGGGGGGGTAGGGATCACCGTGAGATACAGTTACAAAGCTTTCATGGTCGAGATTCAGCTGTACAATGATCAAACACCCATCCCTCCACCACTGCACACCTACCACTAGTGTTCCCAGTGTATTTCCTATCTCCTCCCCCCCGCCATCCCAGTCCTCATACTGCCTCCATGGCAGACAATTTCCCCAATCCTCTCTCTCTCTACCTGGGCCTTGCTTGTGGAAACTCTTGGTCTCCCGGATTTCACTGGAGTAGGTCATGAGACTGCACCTGTTCGTTTGGGGTGACCCAGTGAAATTGGCTTGGTATGGGGCCCAGAGAGATCTCCGGCTCTGTGGTGTCTTTCTGGACTCACTGCTGTGTCTCTCGCTTTTGATCTCTTTCAAGATTTATTTAGGGTGTCTGAAGCTAGGCCAGTAATAGTTTAAAAGGTGGCGCTGGAGTTGATTTGTGGCGGTGACTGCCAGTGTTTCTATGTTTATTGGGAAGTGGGGGCAGGTAGCCCACCCCAACTCTGTGAAAGCTTGGAGATTTCAGTCATAAAACCCGCATACCCGAATTTTCATCAGATTATATCTTGGTGGGGTCCCTCCTGAGACAGCAGAGTAAGGCCAAAGGTATGGTGGTGATTTTGGATTGTGGAAGCAAGTAGCTTCTGGGGGCTCTGCTTGGGCAGGCTCAGGCCAACCTGCCCCCCTCCTATTTACCCCAGTCTGTTCAGCCATGCGCAGATCTGAGATTAACTATGACTTTGTTATTTTAGTCAAGTGGATGTTATTATTCCTTGTATGGAATTTGTATGGTCTCTGAAATAAGGCCAATAAATGAGCTTGTATAACTGAGCCGGAAATGGTTTGTGGGCATGGCTCCCACATACCTAACTTTTGGCTGTTTAATTTCTTGGTTAACTTGGTCCCAAGTTTTTGGGGTCTGGCCAAAGGCACAGTGGCAATTTTGGGGTGTCAGGATGCCTTGAAGTCACCAACAGCCTGCTGATGCACTCGCCTGACAGGTACAGGTTGACCTGTTGGCAGCACCTTACCCCCATTTTTTTTTTAAATCTTTAAAAGAAGAAAGGGGTGGAAGATCAATGTATTCTTCCCCAATCAGCATTGCATTTTCAGTTGGGAAGAAAGGAATGGTAATCATCTGAGTTTGGGGTAGTCTAAAGTCTGGGCAAGAAGTGGGCTCTGGTTAGAAATGGCCTACAGTTATGCTTCACCCCAAAATGTTCTTGTGCTTGACAGAAAGGGCAATTCAGGGGGCAGAGGGCTGAAAGCTTACTACTTTTTTCATTCAATAAACATAAAGTAAGTGGTTTGCTTTGTTCCTCTTTTCCTTTTTCACCTAATATTTTGAAATTTTTTAAATCTATTTTTAAAAAGTTGAAAGGACAGTATAGCACTGTAGCTGTCTCCCTCCCGTTGAGGGACCTCCTGTTGTTCATCATTTTACTTGAACGGACACCAGTAATGTCTCACAACAAATTGTGAGACTTGTTGTTACTGGTTTTTGTCATATCAAATACGTCACAGGGAGCTTGCCAGGCTTTGCCGTGCAGGTGAGATACTCTTGGTAGCTTGCTTGGCTCTCCGAGAGGGGCGGAGGAATTGAACCCAGGTCAGCCATGTTCGCCACGTGCAAGGCAAACACCTTACCAGCTGTGCTATCGCTCCAGCCATAGAACCTACACTTTCAGCAGAAAGGACAGGATAATGAACATGAATAAATTCCTTACCAAAGTTCTTCCAATTCATTCAACTGTTAATATTTTGAAACATTTTTTCCCCTCTAAACATGATAGGGGCCACTTCTGTACAGTGCTGGAGTGCCCTTATGGCCAGGATTGATTCTAGGCACTCATACATTTACAGAGCATGTGGCTGGCACTTGAGCCACAGTCCCACTCCTCAACATTTTTTATAGAATGAGAATAGAATCATCCAGTTAGTTGACATTTTTTTGGGGGGTGGGGGGGTCGCATCTGGTGGTGCTCAGAGGTTACTCCTGGCTCTGCACTCAGGAATTACTCCTGGTGATGCTCGGGGGACCATATGGGATGCTGGCGATTGAACCTGGGTTGGCTGCATGCAAGGCAAACGCCCTACCCGCTGTACTATAGCTCCAGCCCCCAGTTGGCTTACATGGAGGTGTATGGCAGTGTTTTTCACTCAAAATGGCTAAGTATTCCTCTGTTTTTTGTTTTGGGCACCCTCACCCCTCACCCTCCCCACCCCCCAAGATTAGTCTAGCTCTGTGTTTGGGGATTTAGTTCTGGGGGAACCTGCATGTACTGCAACTAGCCTGTTTCTCTTTCTCTGGGCCTAAGTAAGTATATTCTTTTTGAGCATATTGCTACTGAAGAAGGCCACTGAAAAAAATTAAGGTTGTTGATGATGTTCTAAAAATTGAACACTCATGGCTAAATCCTTCTCATTATAGATGCATGATAAGTTTGTATTGAATGAATGGTAATAGACTCATGAAATGATAAAGAGGCAAACTTCAATTTTGAAGAACCCTTTGCCTTGATAGGTATTATCCTTTGAAATCAGCCAATTATTTTGTGCATCTTGAATGGTCCATAGGTGCTAAACCTAACCCAGTTCATTCTAAGTTGGTGTGTGTATTCTGCCTATTCATAACACCGATCCACATTCCCAGTACCCCTTTTCTTGACACTTTAAGTTACACTTTTTCCAAGAAAAGTCGCTGCAAGTCTCAAGGACAGATGACTGGTTAAAGAAATTCTGGTACATCCACACAGTGGAATAATATGCAGCTGTTAGAAAAGATGAAGTCATGAAATTTACATATAAGTGGATCAACATGGAGAGTATCATGTTAAGTGAGTCAGAAAGAGAGAGACAGACATAGAATGACTGAACTCATTTGTGGAATATAAAGTAATATAATGGGAAACTAACACCCAAGGATAGTAGAGATAATGACCAGGAGGATTCCTCCATGACTTTAAAGCCAGCCTCACATGCTGGGGGAAAAGGCAGCTGAGATAGAGAAGGGACCACCAAGAAAAGGATGGTTGGAGGGCTCCCTTAGGATGGCAGATGCGTGCTGAAAGTAGAATGTAGACCAAACATGATGGCCACTTAATTAGCTGTATTGCAAACCATAGCACCCAAAAGGAGAGAGAGAGAGAGAGTAAAAGGGAATGGGTGGGGGGGAGGAAGGGGCTGAATGGGAATGGGGGAGTGGCGGGAGGGATACTGGGAACATTCGTGGTGGAAAATGGGCACTGGTGGAGGGATGGGTACTCAACCATTGTATGACTGAAACATAATCACAAAAGTGTGTAAATCTGTAATTGTATCTCACAAAGATATCAAATAAAAGAAAAATCGCTACAAGAAAAGTAAGGTTAAATATAAAATTAGGGGCTGGAGACATAGTACAGGAGATCAGGCCTTTATGCCTTGATTCACTGACCCTAGTTCAATACCCTCAAACTGACTTGATTCCAAGCACTCAGTATTCTCCAGAAATCACTCCTGAGACAGCTAAGAATAACCTTTCAGCACCAGTGAATATGACTTTTCTTTTATCTTTTTTTAAAAAAAAAAGTTTAGAAGTATCTCTTCCTACATTTCACTTAGCAATTCAAGATTTATTTTTGGTTACTTTTTGTATTGATAATATTGTTGAGTGATGTAGTGAGTGAGGATTAAAGTGCATCAAAACAGATGCCAACTTGGTTCATATTTTGCTTAAATTCCCAGGATTTAAATATGGAACATAATTTGGGATTTCACCATCATTAGCATTTAGTTATTTATAATATCAAGAGGCTTTCTTACATAAGAATACCTAACTTGCAAATGTGCTTTCCGCGTAGAATCCTATGAACTTTTATTATCAAATTTACCCAGGTTATTTTGCAGATTAAAAAAGGTAAACCTAGACAGCTACCACTATCCTCCAGTCAGACAGCCAGTGGCAGAATGAGATTCGAACCTGTTGTTTCAAACTCTTGGTTCACTGCTACTTTCCCACCCGTGAGGTCTCACAGTGCCTGGGAAAAGACAACAGGAACCTTTTGTTACTCCTACCTCACATAGCCATTATTACATGGGGATTTCTCTCACCTTCCAGAGAATGGTCAGAGGATTGCCCTCCCTGTTGTACTACCGTTCTTTTCCTTTTTTTCCCCCCTGAGTGTGTGCTTTTTTTTTTAATTTTTATTTTTTAATTGAGTCACCATGAGATACACAGTTGCAAAGCTGTTCATGATTAGGTTTCAGTCATACAATGATCCCTTTACCAGTGTCCGTTTCCCACCACCAACGACCCCGATTTCCCTCCTTCCACCCCACTACCCAGCCTATCTCTATGACTCTATGGCAGGCACTTTCCTTCTCTACCTCTTGGGAGAAGTGTTCTTGGCTGAAATTGAGATTAAGATTTCCCATTATAAACAATACTAAGTAAGACTGCAGTGTGTTATAGTAATAGTAAACAGTGTTTGGGTTAGGTCCAGGAGTGAAATTGTTTATAATATAATTCAAAATGAGCTTCTATTTATAAACCAATTTAATAGTTTAAACTTAAATGATCAATTTATAGATGACATTCAAAAAAAACATTTTCAGGTCACATCAGAAGGTACTCGCAGCTAAGTGCTTAGGGGCCATAGGTGTTACTATTTGAACCTGGACCCCTGCATGCAGAACATGCACTCCAGTCCACTGAGCTATCTCTTCAGCCCAGTAATTGTTTTAAAAATTGATTTATTTTTTTTGTATGCTGCCTCTCTTTTGATGAATTTTTAATTGAGGTATCATAACCCAGTTACATGTTTAAGGTATACTACCAGTTTACTATTGGAAAATTAATGCTGAGACATTTAAATAGCTGGTTTTAAAATTCTTACTACTTCAGGATGATGGAAGGGAAACTGGGAACAGTTTGATGATGGGGAATATACACTGGTAAAGGGACAGTTGTTGAAACATTGTATGACTGAAACCCAATCATGAACAACTTTGTAACTATGTCTCATGGTAATTCAATAAATAAAATTTAACAAATTAAAATACACAAAATAAAATTCTTACTAGTCTACTAGAACAATAACGAAAAACTACAGAAAGTTACTAGTAAATGAAACCAATATATGCCACGTAAGCCTCAAATGAAATTTTATAATGATGGTTCAATGAGGTTTTTTTATGTTGTTGTTAAAAAATGCCTTTTGTAAGGGGTATCAATGCAAGTTAATTGAAATACTAATTTCATCTGATAATACAACTTTCTAAAATATGTTGGGGTATTACAATAACAAAATGATTATTTCATAAAGAGGCAAAGTTATGGCTCGATGTAGGGCAGAGACCTTGCATGCATGAGGCTCCAGGTTCTATTCCTGGCACTAACAAAAATGTCTTATAAAATAATTATTTGTTAAAATTAGTTCTCTTCCCTTAAATTAAAAAATTTTAAATCTTATAGGGAAAAATCCAACTGATGCATACCTCGATGCCATGATGAATGAGGCTCCAGGACCCATAAATTTCACCATGTTCCTCACAATGTTTGGGGAGAAGTTAAATGGCACAGATCCAGAAGATGTCATCAGAAATGCTTTTGCTTGCTTCGATGAAGAAGCAACTGGTAAGTACTCTGTTTACATTCTGTCTCATGAACACTATATGATACCCATTTTAGGAAATGAGGATTATATTTAAAAGTAAAAACTCATTTACATCGAGATTCTACAACCCCATATGACAAATATTTATATTGTTAATTTTTTAATTTGGTTCTTTCCTAAATTCCTGAAAACCAAAATGAGAATTATAACAGTATTTTTTTTTATATAGTCAAACTATTTTAGGGACTTTAATTGTTACCTAAAAGCATAGTTAGCAAACATAAGCGTTTATAATCTTAGTTATTTTAAAGGACTGGAGCGATAGCACAGCAGGTAGGGCGTTTGCCTTGCACGAGGCCGACCTGGGTTTGATTCCTCCATCCCTCTTGGAGAGCCTGGCAAGCTATCGAGACTATCCCTCCTGCACGGCGGAGCCTGGCATGCTCCCCGTGACATATTCAATATGCCAAAAATAGTAACAGCAAGTCTCACAAGGGAGAAGTTATTGGTTCCTGCTTGAGCAAATTGATGAACTGGAGGACAGTGCTGCTGTGCTACAGTTATTTTCTTTCTTTCTTTTTTTTTTTTTTTTTTTTTTTTTTTTTGCTTTTTGGTCACATCCGGAGATGCTCAGGGTTACTTCCAGCTCATGCACTCAGGAGTTACTCCTAGTGGTGCTCAGGAGACCATATGGGATGCTGGGAATCAAACCCGGGTCGGCCGCATGCAAGGCAAACGCCCTACTCGCTGTGCTATCTCTCCAGCCCCGCTACAGTTATTTTAAACTGTTAGTTTTTTAAAAATTTTTTTAAAACTTCTTTATTGAATCACTGTGAAATATACCCTTACAAAGCTGTTCAGGTTTGGACTTCAGTCATACAGTATCCCAACACTAATCCCTTCTCTCCACCAGTGTACATTTCCCAGCACCGGTGTCCTCAGGTTGCCTCCTATAACCCCCCATGCCTTGCCTCCCTCTAAGGCAGGTGCTTGCGCTCTCTCTCTCTCTCTCTCTCTCTCTCTCTCTCTCTCTCTCTCTCTCTCTCTCTCCCCCCCCCTCTGTCTCTTGCTCTCTCTCCCCCCTCCCACCCCTATCCCTCCCTCTGTCTCACCCTCCTCCCCTCTCTCTCTCTCCCTCTCCTTTTGGGTATTGTGATTTGCAATATTGATACTGAAAGGTTATCAAGAATATCCCTTTACCTGTTTTTAACTCTCAGATCTTGCCAGCATGATCATTTCAAGTTATTAATTGTCATACTGGTCTCTATCTTACCTATCTTCAGCCCCACACACACTTGTGGCTAGTTCTAAGCATTGACCAGTCCTCCTAACCCCTGTTTTCCCTGGCCATATTAGTCTTCTATGATATATATTTTTATATACCACAAATGAATACAGTCATTCTGTATTTGTCCCTCTCCTTCTGGCCACACATTTTTAACTTCTCATTTTGCCCTTTATTTTTATTTACTTATTTTCTTTTGGGCTGGAGCGATAGCACAGCGGGTCGAGTGTTTCACCTTGCACGCAGCCAACATGGCCGACCCGAGTTCGATTCCTCCGCCCCTCTCGGAGAGCCCGGCAAGCTACCGAGAGTATCTCACCCACATGGCAAAGCCTGGCAAGCTACCCGTGAAGTATTTGATATGCGAAACACAGTAACAAGTCTCACAATGTTACTGGGCCCGCTCGAGCAAATTGATGAATGGGAGGACAATGACAGTGACTTTTGGGCTGGAGCGATAGCACAGCGGTAGGACATTTGCCTTGCGCGCAGCCAGCCTGGCTGAGCCGGGTTGATTCCTCTGCCCCTCTCGGAGAGCCTGGCAAGCTACCGAGAGTATCTCGCCCGCACGGCAAAGCCTGGCAAAGTCTGGCAAGCTACCCGTGACATATTCAATATGCCACACACAGTAACAACAAGTCTCAAAATGGAGACGTTACTGGGCCCATTTGAGCAAATCAATAAACAATGGGAGGACAGTGACAGTGATTTTATTTATTATTTTTTCTTTTGCTTTTTACATCACACCCGGCAATGCACAGGGGTTACTCCTGGCTCTGCACTCAGGAATTACTCCTGGCGGTGCTCAGGGGACCATACGGGATGCTGGAAATTGAACCTGGGTCGGCCACGTGCAAGGCAAATGCCCTACCTGCTGTGCTATCGCTTCAGCCCCCTTGCCCCCTTTATTTTAATCCTTTATGCACCTATACCTCCCTGAGATACTCCTTTTATCATTTTTTCCTGTCCTTTATCTGTCAAAACTGTATCACCCATTTATACACAATTGTTCATTGTATCTCCACCTTTTTTCTGGATCTCTGCCCCCAGTAAACTCATTTCAGAATAGTTTTGTAAGCATAGTATTTATTGACAGATTACTTTAAATAAAATTTTTAATATAATATGAATAAGGAAGATTAAAAATATTTAGAAAACACTAGTAAGTTACATCACATTTATTTTGCTTACATAAATATGGCCTTTACATAAATATGGATATTCAGAAATAATTTTTGAGACTAACTTAGTATAGAAATGATACTTTAAAGTGTCTGAAATCAGGGCTGGAGTGATAGCACAGCGGATAGGGCGTTTGCCTTGCATGCGGCAGACCCAGGTTCGATTCCCAGCATCCCATATGGTCCCCCGAGCACCGCCAGGAGTAATTCCTGATTGCAGAGCACCACCAGGAGTAATTCCTGAGTGCAGAGCCAGGAGTAACCCCTGAGCATTGCCGGGTGTGATGCAAAAAAAAAAAAAAAAAGTGTCTGAAATTGTTTCCCTTCTGTCTATTCCCTTCCAGGAACCATCCAAGAAGATTACCTGAGAGAACTGCTTACCACAATGGGAGATCGGTTTACAGATGAGGAAGTGGATGAGCTGTACAGAGAAGCACCTATTGACAAAAAGGGAAATTTTAATTACATTGAGTTCACACGCATCCTCAAACATGGAGCAAAAGACAAAGATGATTGAGAGAACCTTTGTTGTGTCTTCCTCTGTTTTATTTCCCAGAAACTTTTCTGCTCCTTCACAAATCTGTTGCATGCAACTTAGTTCTATAGCTTTGCCTCTCTTTTTGATGTATTTATTCTAGAACTTTCTGCCACTTAGGACTTGTGTAATCAGTTGGCATTTGGGAACAAGTTTGTAAATTGTGTTGGAAAAGAGATTGCAAATAAAAATCAACCAATGTGAAAGCCCAGGAAAATATATTTGGTATTTCTGGTTTTGCTGAATTTTTTAATTTTTATATAATAAAATGCTATTTTGAAGTAAAGATATGCTGACTCAAATGGAATATAATGGAAAGTTAAATAAGTAGTAGTTGGGAGTAATCCTTTATTCAGTTTTTCAGCATAACTCAGAGCTCATAACAAAACCAAATTTTTGTATATGTGGCGTAGTATTTTTAAAACAAGTGTAAGTTAACATGCTGTAAAGGCTAATTATGCCTTGGCTTTTTCACATTTCCAGTAAGTCATTTTTAAACTGTTGAAATATATAGAATCTATCTAAAATGAATCTTAGAAAAATGAGTCTAAAATAATTTAAAATGAATCTAAAATTTTATATTAATCTGGTTCTAAGAAGATGAGACAAAATTCTGAAGAGATTGTCATCAAATCTATCATGTTCAAATTTTACAGTTTCTCAACCTTGAGAGGATGGAATTTTATTAGTCATGCATTTTGTTTGATGATGGAGTGGAGGTGAGTAAGTTCCAAATAGTTGAGCAATTGATCAGAAACACTATTAATTAGAGTTGAGATTCTAGCCTCAAGATTTTGGTGCTAAAAAACCATACTAAGGGAGCAGCAAATGGCTAGAAGCAACATAGAATCTAAGAATTTCTCTACTGAAGGGAATTTATCAGAGAGGTGATATGTGGAGGTTGGGGTGGAATAATGAGGCAAGGGAGTGGGGAGACCCTGAGACAATGGTGGAGGGAAATGAAGGATCTGATATGGAATGTATGCATAAAACCTACCATTGGGATGAGGCCTCATGGGATGGGGGTGGAGCTGGCCTTATCCTCCCCGTACCAAGAGATCCCGAGTCGCCGCCCATGAAGGGCCTTTCTGGCTCCTGATCAAGCTGCTTAATGGCGATGATCCCAGAGACTCAGGAGCAAATCTTGGAACCCAGCAGGTTTTGTCAGAAATCCCTCCAGATTTAAGTGTTAAAATTTCGGAATTTCAAAATTTCGCGGCCACTATTGTAGCCACGTGACATCATATGTTATTCATAACCAGCAATAGAAAACAAATTGTCTACTGTTGTCTTTCAGCAGATCTGAGTGTTGGGGTAAAATCTCTAATAATAATGGTGGGTCTGGTGTCAAAATATTAAATGTGATCAAAGTAGAGAATAATGTGGAAATCATCTACCCCACAGGTAGGGGGAGGGTGTGGGATGGGGGTGTACTGGGGTTGTTGGGGGTGGAGAATGGGCACTGGTGAAGGTACAGGTGTTTCATTGTATGACCGAGACTTAGACCCAAAAGCTTTGTAACTGCTTTCATGGTGATTCAATAAATAAAATTATGGAAAAAAAAAAAAGAACCTACCATTGGGGACTGGAATGATAGTACAGAGGGTAAAGTGCTTGCCTTGCACATGGCCTAGCCGGGGTTTGATCCCCGCCACCCTGAATGGTCCCCCCGAAACATGCCAGGTGTGATCCTTGCAGCACAGAGCCAGGATTAAGCCCTGAGCAAAACCAGGTGTGGTCCAAAAAAAAAAAAAAAAAAAAAAACCATTGACAGTATTGTAAAATTGTAAATCATGGTGACTGAAATACAAGAATAAAAAATCCTCAAATGCCTAAAAGGTGAACACATCTCCATTACTTTTAACATAATTCTGTCATTATTGCCATAATTTGGATAAAGCAGTTTATATGAACATAATGTCACAGAATTCTATGTAGTTTAAAAACAAGACAAGAAAGCAGTATGCCTGAAGGCAGTTCATGTGGCATAGGTTGCAGGGAAGGACAGCACCCTCAAATCAAGCAATATTAAAAGGAGGAAAAATTTTCAAGGAAAAAGCCCATGGATCTAGTTTCCCAATGTTAGTCAACACGAACTCTTCTCTTGAAGTTCTATTAGAGGGGGGTATGGTGCCACCAACAGGTTGCATCTGCGGGGCAAGTGCATCAGTAGCGTGTTGATGCCTTCAGGCATCCTGACACCCCAGAATCACTGCTGTGCCTTTGGCCGGACCCCAAATATTTGTTACCAAGTTTACCAAGAAATTAAATAGCCAAAAATTAGGTATGTAGGAGCCACACCTACAACACCCCTCCAGCTCAGCTATACAAGCTCATTTATTGGACTTATTTCATAGATAAATTTTGAAAGAGATCAAAAGCCACAGTTAATCTCGAACCCGTGCATGGCTGAACAGACTAGGGTAAGTCGAAGGGGGGCAGGTTGGCCTGGTGGCCTACCCAAGCAGAGCCCCCAGCAGCCGCTGCTTCCACAATCCAAAGTCACCACCAAACATACCCTCGGCCATACTCTGCCATCTCAGGACGAACCTCACCAAGATACAATCTGCTGAAAATTCGGATATGAAGGTTTTGTGACTGAAATCCCCAGGTTTTCTCAGAGTTGGGGTGGGCTACCTCCCATCACTTCTCAATACTCCTGGAAGCATTGGCAGTCACCCTCACGAACCAACTCCAGCACAACCTTGTATGTTCTACTCAGTACGCTTCAGAGACCCATAAATAAACCTCAAAAGACATCAAAAGCTATAGTTAAGCTCCGACCCACGCACAGCTGAACAGACCAGGGTAAATTGGAGGGGTGTGGGTTGGCCTGTGCCTGCCCAAGCAGAGCCCCCAGCAGTCACTTGCTTCCACAATCCAAAATCACCACCATACCCCTGGCCTGACTCCACCGTCTTAGAACAGACTTCACCACGATATAATCTGCTGAAAATTCTGGTATGCGGGTTTTGTGACTGAAATCTCCAGGCTTTCTCGGGGTCGGGATGGGCTACTTCCCCCCACTTTCCTCTACTTCCAGAAGCCTCGGCAGTCACATCCATACCCCAAAGCTGCTACACAATCAAAAAGCTACTCAAGCCTTACCATCCCCATAAAAATACCGAATGCCCTGAACAAACACCATGACTTCTTAGTACCAGTATTGCAAACCATAATGCATAAAAGGAAAAGGAGAGAACAAGAAGGAAAGTGCCTCCCACAGAGGGTGGCAGGGGGATAGGGGGTGAGAAGTTGGAGGATGGTGGTGGAGAAACGGGACATTGGTGGTGGGAAATGTACTCTGGTGGAGGGATGGGTGCTGAATCGTGGTATGACTAAAACTCAATGATGAACAGCTTTGTAATGGTCTATCTCACGAATATCCAATTAAAAAATTTAAAACAAAGTAATGTGGAGTTCATTCCCAGTTCAACCAGCTTAATCAGTGGCTGAGTAAATAGCAGTACTCCTACATTTAAAAAAAAATCTATTAGAAACTAGGGAGATAGCTCAAGGGGCCAGGAGCACATGCTTTGCTTTCATTCCATTACTTTTTTTTATTGTTTATCATTATTACTCACTATTTAATAGTGCTCTTAGTATAGCCAGCAAGTACTAATTTGCTATCACTTTATGGAGTGAGGCTGGGGCACTCCCTTTCTGTTACAAAATGAAAGTTTCTGTGCACCATCCCCAGTTGTCCTCATGATAGCCTCTAGGACACTCCAATTTATAAGCTGTTTACATGTTTTATTTCATACTGCCCAAGAGGTAAGTGGATTCCAGAAAAGCCAAGGTAAAGGTAAAGGTAAAGGCCCTCCCGTTGATCGTCGATTTGCTCGAGCGGGCCCAGTAACATCTCCATTGGAGACTTTGTTGTTACTGTGTCTGGCATATCGAATACTCTCGGCAGCTTGCCGGGCTCTCCGAGAGGGGCGGAGGAATCGAACTCGGGTCGGCCATGTTGGCCGCTTGTAAGGCGAACGCCCTACCGCTGTGCTATTGCTCCAGCATCTGTAAAGCCCACAATTAAAGGAATTTATCAATCTTTCAAGCTTACATGTAGGGCCTTATGTAATGCCCCCTTATATACTTTCAAGCTTAAGATCACCATACACATACTAAATGAGGTAGGTCATCACTATGTTCAAGGAAATGGGAAAGTAGAATATACCAATCTTGATAATGAGATAATATCAATCATCTTATGTGCCAGAGACTGTTCTAAGTGTTGGGGGAAATGGGAGCAAGGAGAGAAAAATATGCTGTGCTCCTGGAGTTCACATTTTGTAGCTTGAGCAGAAATAAGCCATCCCAAATAAGGACCAGACAGCCAAGCAAGAGCAATGAGATGTGAGCCTAGGCTAAGATCTAAATAACGAGATCAGGGTGAGAATTGTCACTTAAGAGGTGTTTCCCCTTCCAGGGTTGGAGCGATAGCACAGCTGGTAGGGCGTTTGCCTTGCACGCGGCCAACCCGGGTTTGATCCCCAGCAACCCATATGGTCCCCTGACAACCGCCAAGAGTAATTCCTGAGTGCATAAACCAAGAGTAACCCCTGTATGACCCAAAAAGCTAAATAAATAAATATTTTTTTTTTTTAAAAAAAAGATGTTTCTTCTTCCAAGCCTTGTATAGCAGGGTCCCTGGGAGAGCACCCAGGGAGAATGAGATTTGTTGCACAATTAGCGTTAGGGGCAAGAAATGAGTTTTATCAAAACAAAAAACAAAATCCCTCAACATCGCTTGCTACAGGGAGCAAGAGGAAAAACAAGTACACTGTTAGGATATTCTCTCTGTTGTCCAGGCAAGCCCCTTCGGGAGATGGTGAAGAAGGTTATAAAATATCTCCCTCTCTGTCCTCTCCAAGCCTGCTTTACATTATTCAATTGCATTTATTCTATGCTCTGCTTAAAGCTAGATTTAAAAGATTAGTGGGTGGAGACAGAGATTTTCAATATTCAAAACAAAAGAAAAATTTTAATTTCTTGAAAATTCTGTTATCCTGATGTAGGGTCATTAATGTTATCAATAGAGTAGTTATAAGGCACCTAGGCAATAAATGTGACAACTCTAAGAATAACATAGTAATGTTATCCTAAATTGACAATTGATTCCTTCAGAACTGGAGATAGAGTACAGAGGCTTAGCATCATAGAATGGGTTTAAAGGAGTTCATTACTGCATTTAATCCTCAAAGCTCTAGGAGATGGATAAAGTCGGCAAATATTACCCACTAGGTAAGAATACCAAGTTAAAAAATGGCTGGCTTAGTCAACTTTCT